TGCTGGGGCCAAAGAGGACTTCATTTGATTTGGGCGACACGTGTGATCCCATGAACAGACATTTTTTTAGACCATTATTTTCTTAAGTCAACACAAAGATGGTGAAGAGGAAAGGGGGAAATAAAATAGAAGCCTCAACTTTAGGAAAAGACAATACATTTGAGATAGCCCCTTCCAGGCATTAAGACTTTCAGAGAATGTCCCAAATCTCTCTCTCCTGCGAGCCTGAGAGAGTTAAGGGGACTTATTCAGGAATTGGAAACCTTCAATTCTGGATTTTTGTGCCTTTGTGGGTTTAGGCAAAGCAGTTAGCGTTCTTCAGGAGGGGTTTTGTGTTTAATATACATGAGTTCATTCAACTACAATGGGAAAAGAAAACTCATTTGTTCTTATAAAACTAGGAAGGAAAGATAACTTTAAATAGACTGCCAAAAAGGATCCCGCTCGAGGGTGTTGCCTTCCCGCTAAAGAGCCAACATTCAGCTATAATTTCACCCCGTTATGTTAAGCAGCAATTCCTAAGTTTATCCTCATCTATGGTCTTGATTTTCTGATTTATTTTTAAGGTCAGGTAAGAAAAAGTACGGGCTGCACTTATTCTACTATGGGAAAGAAATCCCGGGAGTGTGATTTTAGACGCAGGGCAAAAATTGCGGACAATTTGAAAAGGCTGTTGGCTATTTATGAAGAGTCCTGGAAGCCTGTTTGGACAATCGGGTTCTCCATTTATTGAGAAGCCCTTTGAAAGCTACTTCGAGAGGTGGTGTGTGCGAGTCGGCTTTTATGCTGTTTATTGCATACGTTAAACTCCTTCCAGGATCTGAGGTTGTTTTTCTTTTTTCTTTTTTTTTTTTTTTTTTTTAATTTGCTTCTTGTAGCACTGGACGAAAGTGGAGCTGCTTCTTTCTATTTTTGCTTCTCCCCCCTCGCCGACCCTCCTTTTTTTTTTTAACCTCTCGGCAGTGTGATTTTTACCGCCCCGGTCCCACAGTCCCGGCTCCCGCATGCGGTGGTCGCCGGCAGGTGCGGTGGCAGCGGGGCCGCTCGGAGGGCACGGGGTGAGATCGGTGGTGCGGGGGAGCCGCCCCCGCAACCCCCCGGCCCTGCGGTCGGGCCCGGGCCCGGGCCGTGCGCTCCCCGCACGTGTGCTCGCCCTGCGGTTCCATTCGGGGGAAGCGGGATGAAAGGAAAGGCCGGGAGCAGCGCGGGGCTCCCTCGGCATTCCCCGGCTTTTCAAGGGTCCTTAGAGCCCTTGAATGAAATTATTGGGCGAAATGGGGTCTTGGCGGGCCCGGCCGTGGCTCGCCCCCTCCTTGGTTTGTACATGTAATGCCACTTCTGAGAGCGACAATCGGGCTACTTGCTGGACAGGCAGGGACAAAAAGGAGATTAAACCGTTTTAAATAATAATAAAAAATATCCAAAACGCAAGCAGAGTGGATTACACTTGCTGCGGCGCCTCGGCTCCCCCCAAGTCCCCCTCACAGCCGCCCCGGGCCTCACAGGGAGGGTGGCCCCAGCCTCACCCGTGCTCGGCCCCGCCAAACTTCCCAAGCTTCCCTGAGCTCTTTCTTTCTGGGCCCGGCGGGGCTCCCAGGGTCTCCAGCCATCGCCATGAGATACTTATTTGGCCGAGGACATCCTGCATTTTCCCCACCTCGGGAGCGTGCAGGGACTGGGGAAGGCGGCTCGGGCCGCAGGGCTCCCCCGGCCCCTGCCCGTACCCACTCCAAACGTGGATTTTATTCTAGGGCATTCCAGACCGTATCTCCCCAAGTTTTCCTCGGCATGCTACCTCAAACTCACCATGTGATGACTGAAATTCCCCAGAGAGTGGGGTATAGTTAGTGCAATAGAACTTCCCTGACTAACTTCGGCTCTGGACTGCTACAGCATCAGAGGGGCGAGAGGAAATTTATCTGCACATTTTCGCCTTTGCCTGTTTTGGTGGGTTTTTTGTTGGTTTTTTTTTGTTGTTGTTGTTTTTTAACGTAATGAAATTAAAACTTTTGGAGCTCACAGTTGACATTTTGCAGAAAATTGAGTTATCAAGGCAGTAATTATTTCACAGGGAGATAAAACTCTCATAGCCCTAACTGTCAAATAGGGCCCTTTTCAGATTTTAATTACAAAATAAAATTAGTCTGCTCTTCCTCGGAAGGGTTTGTGAGTGGCTAAACAGAGCTTTCCCCAATACTGGTGGTCGTCAAACTCTGCTAATTAGCAATGCTGAGAAATTCCAGTTAACAAGGACATTCTCTAAGTCTCTGCAGGTTCCCTGCCGTTCGCCTTCATTTCCATAAGAAGATTAAGAGTGGAGGGGAACACACTCAAATGCAGATGCAGAAAAGAAGCGTTTTTAACAAGCATCATAATAGTAAGATGCTTGGCTAGTTCTCACCTAATTACTGCAAGTTAAACCTCTATTTGCAGCTAAGGACAAAAAATGGAGCTGCAATCTCCCATCTCCACAAGTCTGCTTAATAGTTTGCTTTAGATTGGTTACTAGTAGGTTCAGGAAAAAAAAATAATATGAAAATGTGTATATTCTTTCCGATACAGTTAACACGATAGGTTGTATCCTTAGGGCTTTTAGAAAAATCGGCGAGTATTAGAACAAAAAATATATTAAATCCTTCTAGTTAACATTCATTTTCTTTTTAAGACACTCATAACCTGGAAATAAGAATGCGTGTGCCGCAGAGCCCATCACTGAGAACATTTGCAGACTATTTGTTTAATGTAAGCACTTTTCATCTCCATAAATTATACCAGTGGCAACGATTTTTTAAATCCACTCAGATTAAACCATCCCTCCGCAGGCCTCCCTTCCAACGTGGCTGTATTCTTAGAGAGCAGTGGTGTTATTGTCATTAATATAAAAAGTCAGGGGCCATTTCATCTTTTTTTTTTTTTTTAATAATTTTATTTTATAGCTAGCTTCCCGGTCTGCCTCTGCTTCCGCCCACCCATGTGTGTATTCCCTGCTAAGCAAACATCTATACCCAGAGGAAAGGCGCAAAATGCCCCAAAAGAGCCATTGCCCTCACCTTATTTCCTGTAGTGGATTATTATGTATATATGACAGTTTATTGCATCGATAATTAAAAGCGTTAATTAAAATAGAGCCGTAAATACTCCCGATAGCACAATTGTTAGGCATTTCCCATCCTTTATTCATATGATAAATGCAATTAGGAGAGGGCCAGGCCCCGAAAGGCCTCCAGCGGGCACAGGGCAGCCCACGCCGCCCTGGTCCTGCATGGAGCCCTGGGCTGTGCACCCCACGCACCTCCCGCAGCTACAGCCGGAGCAAAAATAACACTTTGCCTTCGCACCGCCAGCCCTCACTTATCAGTTGAGCACGACGAACAAGCACCACTGCCACCCACCCACAACCTCGTCTTAAAAAAAAATCAAAAAATAATTATCCCTAAAATAATTTTAAAATAAAACTTTATCAACTGCAGACCAAAGGGAGAACAGTAAGAAAGCAAACAGCTTTCGGGAGTGTCTGGACAATCAGAATCCGGTTATATCTCACATCTCATAATTCGCACCTATTTTTCATCAGTTTAACCTATCACTTATCCAGGGGTTATATATAAATTTTCGAATTGAACACGCTGAACCCGATAGGAATTATTTGCATAATCCACGCACAGGAAAAAAAAAAAAAAAAGCGTCCCCGTTCGCTGGCAGGTTTTTATTATTATTATTATTATTATTGTTGTTACTCTTCAGACGGGCTGTAATTGCTCGCTCCCTTCACCCCCCGTCCCTCTCCCGGGGCGCGGCCGGGCCGGCAGGGGGCGCCGCAGCGCCGCGGCTGAGCCCGTCGGGGCGCCCCGCGCTGCCCCGGCCCCTCAGGGGCCCTCACGGCCCCGCACGGCCCCGCTCCGGGATCCCCGCTCCGACACCCCCGCCCCGGGGTCCCCCGCAGCCCCGCACCCCCTCCGCCTTCACGACCGAAAGGCGGAGCAGCCCCGTCGGGGCGGGGGGAGCGCGGCCGTGGCGGAGAGCGGCTCGCCCCTTCCCCCCCGCCCCGCTCTCCCGCTCCGCGCGTCCTCTCTCTCTCCCCTCCTTCCTTTGTCGTCAAGTGCGGTTTATCAACAAAGATCCCAACAAGAGAGTGGAAGTAAACTTAGCCGGGGCTTTGTGCGGCCCGTGTAGTGACAACAAGGGAAACAAAACTACCTATTTGTAGCGCCGGCCGTCCCGCCCCCCCTGCTCACCCCCCCGGGCCGAGCCCACCCAGCACCGCCCGCGCCCCGCGGTGTGCGCGGGGTGGCGGCGCCGCCGGGCCGGGGCTGTGAGCGGGACGGGGAGAGCGCCGCACCCCTCCCCGGCCCCTCCTGAGGGCTCCCGGCCGCGCTTTGTGTTCTGCGGGAACGGCGTGTGAGGGACCCGTGTTTGCACTGGACAACCCCGTCCGCCGAGGCCGGAGGTGGCGGGGAGAGCTTGGCGCTCGGAGCGGGGCCCAGGGGATGGCCGGGAGGTGGCCACAGCCTCTGCCCGGGCTGTATGGGGCGGGCTCGGCTCCCCGGCGGCGGAAGGCAGCGGGGCCCGGCCGGGGACGCCGCTCCCACGGGGACCCCGCGGCGCTCGGCCTGGACGGGGCGAGCGCAGGGCCCCTTCAGCCAGGCGGCCCCTCCGCCCCGAGGGGCGCTGGCAGAGAGAGGGGGTGGGGGCCGGGGGGAAGCCGTTCCGCATCCCCCCACGGCTTCTCCCAGCCCCAAGCCAACACCAACTTAAAGGCGAAAAAAAAAAAGAAAAAAAAAAAACCACCACGTAGCAACAATGCTGTTTACCCACTTCCTCCAAAAGGCGTGTGTGACCTGTTGCTGGAAGGGGAGATACAAAGGCTCGCAGTGGCCGCCCGGGCCGCCCCCGGGCCCGCCTCCCCGCCGAGCCGTCCCGGCGCGCCCAGCCCCCGCCCCGTTTCATGCAAAACCAGGGGAAGAGACTTGTCCTCAGTGGCGGAGCCGCCGAGCGCTGATTGGCCGGGGCGAACGCATTTATTGCCTGACAAGCCCCCATCACATGGATGGTTGTCTATTAACTTGTTCAAAAAAGTATCAGGAGTTGTCAAGGCAGAGAGAGAGAGTGTGTGTGTTTGCAAAAGGGGGTAAAGTAGTTTGCTGGCTCTTTAAGACCGAGGTGGAGAGAGAGAGAGAGAGAGAGAGAGAGAGAGAGAGGCAGGCAGAGAAAAGGGAAAAAGGAGGAAGAAGTTTTTTAAAATCAAGGCTCCGGCGGTAATAATAGCAGTTATTAGCATTATTAATCCATCAGCGAAGAGGAAGATCCTGATCTTGATCCAAGTGTGGTTTTGGGGAGTCCCCCTCCCCCCTTTCCTACCCCTCCCTAGGAAAAAAAAAAAAAAAGTCCGGCTTGGGACTCCGCTGCGGCTGCTTCTCGTTTCTCTGCTCAAGGCTGGTTCCAGGCAAAAGTAGTTTGAATGTACAACATGATGGAAACCGAGCTGAAACCTCCCGCCCCCCAGCAAACTTCGGGGGGAGGCACAGGCAACTCCAACTCGGCCGCCAACAACCAGAAGAACAGCCCGGACCGGGTCAAGCGCCCGATGAACGCGTTCATGGTGTGGTCCCGCGGGCAGCGGCGGAAAATGGCCCAGGAGAACCCGAAGATGCACAACTCCGAGATCAGCAAGCGGCTCGGGGCGGAGTGGAAACTTTTATCCGAGGCGGAAAAGAGACCCTTCATTGACGAAGCCAAGCGGCTCAGAGCTCTGCACATGAAGGAGCACCCGGATTATAAATACCGACCCCGGAGGAAAACCAAGACCCTCATGAAGAAGGATAAGTACACGTTGCCGGGGGGCTTACTGGCACCGGGCACCAATACCATGACGACTGGGGTAGGGGTTGGGGCCACCTTGGGAGCTGGGGTGAACCAGAGGATGGACAGTTACGCGCACATGAACGGCTGGACCAACGGAGGCTATGGGATGATGCAAGAGCAGCTCGGCTACCCGCAGCACCCGGGCTTGAACGCGCACAACGCGGCGCAGATGCAGCCCATGCACCGCTACGACGTGAGCGCCCTGCAGTACAACTCCATGACCAGCTCGCAGACTTACATGAACGGATCGCCTACCTACAGCATGTCCTATTCCCAGCAAGGGACCCCGGGCATGGCCCTGGGCTCCATGGGCTCGGTGGTCAAGACGGAATCCAGCTCCAGTCCCCCTGTAGTCACTTCCTCGTCTCATTCAAGGGCTCCTTGCCAAGCTGGGGACCTTCGGGACATGATCAGCATGTATCTACCAGGTGCTGAAGTACCAGAACCAGCTGCCCCAAGCAGACTTCATATGTCCCAACACTACCAGAGTGCACCTGTTCCTGGCACAGCCATTAATGGCACACTCCCTCTATCACATATGTAAGACAAAGGGGCCGGGGAGGGCGGGGAGGGAAGCGGGTGGGGGGCGAAAGAAAACTAAACAAAACAAACAACAAAAAACTTTTATTAGAAATTCTGGACTTTTTTTTTTTTTTTTTGGACTATTTTTGTACAGAGAAAGCTCCGGGCGGGGGCAGGGGTGGGGGTTGTGGGGGTCAGAAATTAAACCGACAAGGAACTTGTATAGATCTTGGAGGGGAAACAACTACACAAAACTTTTAAAAAGTTCTAGTGAAAACGGTAGGAACTTTGCAGAAAGTTTGCAAAAGTCTTTACCAATAATATTTAGAGCTAGACTCAAAGAGCGAAGAGGAAAATGTTTTAATATTTGCAGGTAACTTTTGTACAGTATTTATCAAAAGACACATGGCAATCAGAATGTCCATTGGTAATATAGAGAGAAGGAAAAAAAACAAGCTCGTGAATTTGCCAATTATTTTTAAAAAATAGTGTCTTCTTGGAGCATTGTGGCTTTGGCAGCTGAATTTATAGCAGCTGCGAGAGAGGAAATTATTTTACGGCATTTGGACATTTAAATTGTTTTAGAAATTGTACAAAAGACACAAAAAGGTAGGATGAGTACTGGCGAACCATGGGCTTGGTTTGCTGTATAAGGGCAAACGTTTAGATTGTACTAAATTTTTTTTTTTTTTTTTTTACTTCTTGTTAAAAAGCAAAAATTGCCATGCAGGTTCACACGCCGTTTGTTAATTTATAATAACTTTTTGTTTCCAGACTTCATCCTGTTCAAAGAAAAAAAAAAAAAAAAAGGAAAGAAAAAACCCCTGAAATTACTGTGTTTGAAATATTTTCTTATGGTTTGTAATATTTCTGTAAATTTATTGTGATGATATTTTAAGTTCTTTTTTTTTTTCTCCTCATTTTCCGTAGTTGTATTTTAAAGATTCGGCTCTGTATTATTTGAAATCAGTCTGCCGACAGTCCATGTATATATTTGAACTAATACCATCCTTATAACAGGTACATATTCAAGTTAAGTTTTTACTCCATTATGCACAGTTTGAGATAAATAAATTTTTGACATATGGACACTGAAGTTCCTCTTGAGTCTTGGATTTATTTTTGTAATGCAAGATGTTTTTTAAATAATTCATGCAGTAAAAGGTATCACCGTAGCCAACCGAATACGATAAATAATGTATATATATATATTTATATATATATAACGCATGAATATTTTTATAAGTATGTATCTATAGAGAGAGAAAGTGCGATAGCTTTAATGGAGTGGCCGCCTGTTCCTCCTTTCGGGAGGGACGGGAGTGCGGAGTGAGAGGCTGTTTCCCAGTTCCCTCCCGTCCCTCCCGAGGACGCGGGGTGCGGCGGGGTGCGGGGGGTTCTGTCGCCGCTGCGTTTGACCACTTGTTGCCCCCGGAGGGGCCGAGCCGGGGGCCGGCGGGGCCGGCGGGAGCGGCGGCTCGGCCGCGGGCACTGCCGGCGGCCTCCCGGCTCCAGAGACAGATAATGCGTTTCTGTCTTTTCCCAGCTGTGCCTCCCTCCTCTGGGGCAGGCAGGACGGGAGCCGGCTTCCCACGACCGGGAACCGGAGCGCGGCCGGCCTGGCGCGGCTGAGCGCTCCCCGCTCCCGTTGTCCACCACTTCCCAAACTTTCCTCTCCCGGCTCCTGGGCCGCGCAGGAGGAGGTGAGAGGTGGGGGCGGGGGTGGGCTAGGCCGAGCAGAGGTAAGAAACAACAAAAAACGAACAAACAAACCAAAACAGTCGAATGCCAGAGACCTTTCACGTTTTATCACAGCTCTTTCTTGAATCCTATTTCTTAAATTGCCAGCGCGGTGTAGCCCCGTTTCGGACGCTCTCTGCAGCCGGTCACAGCCCCAAAGAGAAGCGGTGGCGCCCGCCAAATAGGAGGAGAGATCCGCCATCCGTGCCAGGTAGAGTTTTACTTTGTACCGTCGTAGCCGCAGTCGCCGAGGACAGGGCTCCGCACCGCTCCGCGCTGGAGGCCTTGGCCGGCGACAGGGCCCGCGACCCTGGGCAGAGCAGGGGGCGATGGGCAGTAGAGTTGTGCACCCGCTGCGACAGCCCCTGTCCCCCCGCGAAGCCCCAGCGTTTATCTGGTGCTGCTAACGAGGCTGCGGTTTCCCTTGGGAAACGCGAGAGACGGAGGTGCAAGTAATAATAAATACTAATCGTTTTTTAGAAAAATGTATGAAATTTGGGATTTGGAGCACTGTGATTGCAAACTGGTCGTGTGTTCTGCTAATGGCATGTGGTGCATGGCAAGGAAAGCGTGTGATGGTTGATTTAGGCAAGGCAAAAAGTGGCCACTCCGGAATGGAGCAAGTGTTGCTCAGCTTTTCTCTCTAGTATTTCTTGTCAGTCACTGGATTTCTCTTTAGCTCGGGGAGAAAGAAGGCTGGGTAAAAAAAAAAACACACACACGCACACACACACAAAAAGTTACCTGTCTGGTTGTGGTTTTTATTTGGTAGTGCAATTTCTTAGGCTCAGTTCTGGCCTCCATCCTCGAAGCCTGGTGTCCAGATGAAAACTAACAGTGACAGACTAAGAGATGTGGAGATTTGCTCACTGCCTGGTTTTGTGTTTAGCTCCCTTTGTCCCTTTTATCTCTGCACCGTCGCGGTACTTGAGCAGGACAACATTTTTTGCAGATTCTCAACCTTTTCTATGTATTTTACGTTAATGCAACGAGTACAATATTCTTTTTCAAAGCTGTTTGCAATGCGTTTGCAATGCGTCTGGGGATTACTCACGTGGTAACAAGCCCACATCCCCGCTCCCGCTCACCTCGCTGAGAAAAGAGAACAGGAATAAAAGCCCAATCGATATCACGATTCCATTTTTAAAAGCGAATCTTAGCCAATTAACAGCAATAAAACCTGGCTCCTTTTTGAAGTGCTAACTAAAATATTCGAGGGGGGTATTTGGAAATGTTGGTACTTTTACAATTCGCATAGAGAAGGCGAGCTAATACCATTAAACAAAAGGCACTGAGCCACATATTCAGGCTTAGTGAATTCAGCAACTTTTTATATGGGCAATTTGTTTAAGCTTAGATTTCGAAGTACGATGCGGAATATGTGTGATTGAAACCTGATATCCCTTGGACAGATTCCTTACATCCATCCATCCATCCATCCATCCATCCATCCATCCATCCATCCATCCATCCATTTATCCGTTTAGAGAGGATAACTCAAAGCATTTTACACGTACAGCTGAACGGTTTTATATTTAAAGTGTTACTTGGAGGAACGCCATTGTCCACTGCTCATTTTAAATTCAACACATTCAATAAACGCCATTTACACCTAAGCCATTATCCCGGGCTTTTGTTTATGGCAGCTGAAATGTGTAGCAGAGCTCGTGGGTATGTTTTTATTTTGGTTATTGAAGACCTTTGGGGCTCTCCGTGGTTTCCCTTTCGTGAATTGTTGTCTTCTTTATAGCCAGGGTGATGCTCGGCCCAAGAGCACCAGTGTAATGTTTCCCTAACCTTCTACAGAGCCGAAATGAACCCAAGGATAAGATTATAGTTTCCCCTGTGATTTTTTTACGGCTTTTTAAGTACTGGGGTGTTAAAATATTTTGCAGAACTGGAGAGGTAGATTAGCAGGGTTTCTTGCCAAAGCTGGGAAGCTGGTATTACAGACTGTCCCAGGGGGAAATCGCTCACATTAACCACTAAATGAATATTTGACAAGGGCTCATTCGGGGGTATTATTACTACAAACGGGTCCCTACTGGACTTTCTAAGGGTCAAAGAGCAATGGTTCAATTAATTATTTAGACTGTTAGTAGATTTGGTTGTAATAGCTGTACTTATTTCTGCAACCGACAGCTTCTTGCGGTGGGGGACCTGGGGAGAGGCTCTGCCTCGCAGCCCCGGCTCCAGCCCGCGGGCGGGCGAGCGGCTGCCGGTTGCCGTCAGACATTTCTTGGTCGAAAACATATTTTGATTCCTTGAGATGCCCATTGGTGCCGTGTGGGACATCAGGAGTGGCGGTGATCCCCGAAGCAGCGTGTTCTCTCTTCATATTAATTCCTCCTCTTCCCCAACGGGCAGCAGACATGTATATCTGCGTCCGAATTGGAGGTAGATAGCCCAGCAATTTAAGTAGTATATAATATAGGTCCCACTGAAAGAAAGAGGCCCATTACTGATAGGTGTGATTAGATACACTTCACTTATTTAAATCCTGATCTAACTCAAATACTAAAATGTAAAACCTGCTTCGGTGCTTGTGAGATTTCTGAGGATATATGCAAAAATGCAGACATTCGGATGGCAGAAGAGCTTCGTCTTTACGTTTTTAGTGCCAGCCAGCCTCGCCTGACACTGTCGTTTCAATATTTTTCTTGTTGACGGGGGGAAAGTGAAGGGAGGGTTATTTTGTTTAATTTTTACAATAAACATGTCCGCAGTAGTAGATACCAAAAAAAAACCAAAAAAAAAAAAACCACACCAAAAAAAAACCCCAACCCAAAATAATGTTGGGAGTGTGCGATTAGGTGACAATAATATATGTTGAATGAATAAGAGATAAGCTGCAAGGGGGGAGAGGGAAGCAGTAATTACAAACCCAATTCATTCAGCTTTTCAGGACTTTTGTTGTGGGAGCTCCATTGACGGGCTTCGAGCTGCCAGTTTTCTCACATTAAAAAGAACTGATCAGCGCCTCAGGGGGACAAGCAACACCGCTTAACTGCATAGTGATGGGGTCCTCATTTAGAGCCATTACAACAAGAAAATTAAACAGAGCCTTTGTGTGCACCAGGTTTACTTTTCAATTGCTGACAGTTTATAGCTAACTGCTCAGAGATTGAAGTTTGATTGCGGTTTGATCGCCTGCTAGTTAGCACCGCCGCTATTTTAGTTTTGGTAATTAAAACCAGTTTTTCTGACGATGGCACGGGGAATTGCCAGAAGTTTGGTACTGTTTTGCTTTTGAGGAACCGATTCACTTGGCGAGGACGTACAGCGCTGCAGTGAGTGTGGGGGCTGGTTCACTCGCGAATTGAAAAGGAAAGGAGCCCAAGGGGTGGAAATTCTCGGAGCTGCACGTTTGGCTGTGCGAGAGCGGGAGGGCGAGCTCCGTCCTCCAGGAGGCCCGGCCGGCTCAGCTCTTGCACCGCGG